CAGGTTCAGAGGTTTCGGTCCGTAGTCAGAGGCCTCCATTGCTTCTGGCCCCACGGGGAGGGTGGCGGAACATCACGGCAACTGATGCAGTACAGCAAAGCTGCTCACAGGATGTGGCTGATAAAGACTGTATGAGGGAGGGACCAGAGTTCCAGAGTCCCCTCTCAGGGCTACTCTTTTGGCCTAACTTCCTTCCACGGGGCCTCACCTCCCAAAGCTTCCATCCTTTCCCAAGAATGCCACTCAATGGGGACCACTCTTTCAATACTTGAGTTTTTAAGGGACACTTAAGGTTCACACTAACAGTCAGTGACTCCTACCTACCTTAGAGTTGAACCAGAAATCTGTGATGGAGACTTACATTTGAGAAAGTAGCTTCTTAGTGTAGGGAAGGAACGTATAAATGTCTTGGTGTTTCTTCAACATGCTTAGGAGCATTTTCCATCCCTTGCTGGAATTATGTGCACTGTTTGCTCTATGAGCCTCTTCAAGAATCTGCTCAGATGTCCCCTTATCAGAAAGGCTTTCCTGGACCTCACTGCATGCAAGAGCAAACATGCCCGATGTACAGCGCCCCTCCCAAAACTTCCTCTTCCCCATCTTTTCCGGCATTTGCTTTCCTTCATAGAACTTATCATACCTAACAGAAGTTTATTTGCTCACGGTCCAGCTGGAACGTAAGCACCCCAAGGGGCAGGGGAATTTATTGTTTCTTTTATTTCCAGTCCTTAGAACAGTGTTTATCATTGTAGTAAGTGTCCAATAAGTGTGTACTGAATGGATGTATAGGCGATCTGATTGCTAGATTAGAAGAGGATGCCCAAATGTGAGATATGTACCTTGTAGAGATCGAGGCAGGAAGATTACGAGTTTGAATCCAACCAAGCACGTTAGGCACTTAGTGAGACTCAGTCTCAAAAGTAAAAAGCTAAACAGGGACAGGGTTGTAGTACAGTGTGGAGGCCCTGGGTTCAGCCCCTGACCCCCAGTACTGCAAAAGGGGAGGACGCAAGGTTGATTTCTAGAAATGTTTCTTAAACTAGGGCAATAAAACAAGAAACATTTTAGTTTAACTTCATTTGGGGAGGCAATTAGTGGCTTTTAATTCTGTGCTATAAAAATTGGAAGTCTTGGTGAGGTCATAAATCTTTACAGCTTAATTTTCTCTTACATGGTAATTATATAGTCCATGCGGTAAGTTTGAGCATTACAGAAAGTGGCTTTTCTACTCCTTTCATCAAACTGTTACATTCTAATGAGAAAGACTCTTTCAGTTTTATTTTAAATCTCAGTTTCTTCTGCGTGGCCCAAGTATAGCAGTTAGCAAAGGAAGTTACATGATAGTGAAGATACAGTTATCCCTCCCAGCTGTCAGCAGACGGCTACCGTGCCAACTACTTCCTGTCCCTCCCAGTAATGGCTCAGGAATCTATATCTGAGAATGTTTCAAACAACAAACAAGTGACCTGGAAGTACTGACTTAGAGTCCTAATTTCATTTGCATTTACCTGTGATTTCCACCAAGTGGGGCGATCCTTTCCCAGGGTGGCTCTTGTGTACCTTGTGTCTTCATCTCTTGATTTATTTTTAATTTCTCCCTTGTGCTCACCCAAGGGAAATGCAGATTGGAATCTCTGATAGGAGCAAAGCTTTTTCCTTAATTGCACTGACAAGAGAAGGCAGCAGCCCCTGACACACAGGGATGTGTGTGGCATTCAAGCTGGGCCATATCGCCCTGTTGTAAACAAGCAATTTCATAAAAAAAATCAGATAATGTCACTTGAGATCGTCATAAATTAAGAAAGAACAAGTTTCCTTGCAGCCCACAAAATCCAGAAAGTTCTTTCTTACCTAAAGTGAGTAGCTCTTACTTTTTAAAAATGAGTGACAGCTCTTTGTGACTTTACTCAGCTGTCCTTGTGAGTTTGAGATCTCAACCAAAGACCCAGAACAAAGCTTCCTTAAATCCTCCCTCAAATTACCCAAACAAGACCAGATCCTATAAAGTTTCTTTTAACACCACTGACTGGGAAGCCCACAGTTCTTAGGGTGTACACTTTCCTGGCTGCAGTCAATGTACATTGGATTGGTCTAGCTGTGTTGTGTTCCTGGTCACCTCTGGCTGGAGGGCCTGGCAACCTCATCTGCAACAGCTGAGGGTGTTCTTCCCTCTTCATCCCAGGAAGTTCACTCCTGTTTCCAGCACTGGAGACCCTCCAGCCTTTATGACAAAAGTTACCATAAATGCTACCAGCATAAGTCAGCTGCTTCCCTTTTTCTAGTTTGTCTCAGTGTCCATGAGTCCTTGAGATTAAGTCTGTTCTTGGTGTCTACAGCAACCTATACACAAGCTCATAGTGGCAGTGGTTTTGGATTCACTGTCAAAAGCCTAATTAAAGGTTATTTTTTCCTTTGTAGCAGCTGTCTCCAAGGCAACCATGATAGCTAGAGTAAAAGGAGAGACTATATATATTTTTTAACTGGGGTTCCTCCTCCATCTCCATTTGCCTCGGTGGAGTGTAAAGTAAGTAGTAAGTTAGGCTCTCCTTCCTAGGTCCTGGCTTCTGTTGAAAGCAGAGACCCTGTAGCTACCAGGCCTAGAACCAAGTGGCCCTGGACTACTGGTATTGCTCAGGAAGGGGTTGGGTTTTTCTCCATTTCATGGAACCTCTTCTGGATCCCTTCATAGATTGTATGTTCTGCCTTTGATCATTTTATGCTTCCACCACCCACCTGTTGGGCACTGCCTCAGGCTTTAAGCTATTTTAATTTTGGCAGGCTGAGAAAATGAACTTTACGTCAAAATTTAGACACTTCATGGAAAGAGATTTTTAATACCTATTTGTATGTGCTTCTCAAGCAATAATTTGATCATATTAATAATTTGAGTTTGGGGCTGGGGATTTAGCTCAGCGGCACAGTGCCTGCCTGGCAAGCACAAGGTCGTGAGTTCGATTCCCGGTACCAGAAAAAAAAAATAAACCAAAAAAAAAAAAAAATTGGAGTTCACATGTAGTTCAGACAAACAGCAGTCACTTTTGAATGGCTCTCAGGTGCACATACCGTATTTATATTAATATGAACCTTAGTTTCTGACACTTTGTTGTTGCTGTTGTTTAAGCTACAGTGGCTTCCCTCACTTTGATTTACCTTTCATTTATGTACTCATTCAATTTATTCTGTTTATTTCTAACATAATGAGCATCTATGAAACCTATCTGAGACTAGAACACGCACAATTAAACTGCTCAAGCTCTTATCAAGAAATGCTTCTTCCAGTGACCACTGAAAGGCACAAGAATCCAAAGGCTAAGTAACAGTTCCATGATTCTATTGACTTAGAGAGGAGTTGTTTTGTGTGTGTTTATAGTTTGAAGAACTGTATCTTGGAATTTGAGGACCATCCTTTGTTCTTACTCTACCGAACTGAAAGATTGATCCAGACAGTGGGTTAAAGAATGCTTTTGCAATGTGGAAGCCAACAGTGATCCAACTGTCATGCAAGGGGTAGAGAACAGAAGAGAGAAGCAGGCTTGAAAGACACAATATGGTATGGTACGTTGTCAGCAAAAATAGTGGGCATCTAAGGTCATCTCTAGCTGGCCTGTTAAGTACATGTTAGGTGAGGCTGTGACAGGGTGGGGACATTAGCTAAGGCATTAATTATATCAGGGTTCGATTTTATGCCGAGCACATAGGAAGGATTTCTGATAAATACTCCCATGAAAGATTGTCTGCTAAGGCCAATGCTTATCTGAGAGCCCCGACTGACCTTGGGAATTACACAATGGCATATTTTAGTTTCTTTTACAGGAATGCAGATTGAGCAACGTGGTGGAATTTATAAAAGCATTTGGGTTATTTCTGTGACAACAACAATCTGGGAGCCGCTTTAATTTGTGAGAGTAAATCTCTGTTCCAGATCCTGATGGGCAGTACATAGAAGACATACTAACTCAGTAAGCAAAGGACTTTGCACAGATATTTATCATCAGCTAGAAACGTTAGTGGGGCTAGAGAAGGAACAGCTACTAAGAGAGTAGGAATAGCAGGACATAAAAAATGTGGTGGCCTGACAGCTTCCATTCATTGAGAGTGTCTCCCTAGTGAGGGGGCAAATAGCTGAAAATAGAATGTACAGGGGCAAAGAACATATCAGGGGACTGACAGATGGATGGAAATCCCCAAACACCAGCTGGCCTCATGGAAGACTGCAACTTCTTAAAGCTGTTCAGTGACTAGGAGTGTAGAAAAGCTTTCAGCCCCATATAGCTCTTCTGGAAGTGTTTCCTAGAATAGGGACAAACACCCTAGGTCTTTGGAGAGAAACTCAGTTTGTAGCCTTCATAAGCGCCTTCTCAAAAACCCTTCATTCAACAATCATCGTGAACCTGCTAGACAGTAAGCGCAATCATCAGACAGGCTGAGACCAGTGGAAGGTTTTGATTTTGTAGGTAGAAACAAGAGAACGTAAACTGTGCTTGGACACTTGCGTACATGTAGTGTGGTCAGTCCTGGAGAGTAATGGATACATGTGATAAGTACGGAAGTCAGATGAATCCAAACACCTGAGAACCTTTCAAGCCAGGTGAAGGGTTTGGGTCAACTAAATCTTAATCAATGTGAAGCCATGGAAAGCTTTTTATTTGTGTTTATTAAAAATTTTCTCAAGGTAATACATGCACAAGGTAAAAAATTAAATAGTACAGAAAGACTTCAAATGAAAAACACAGTCTGCCACCCCACCCTTGTTTAACCCTAGTCCCATTCCCTGGATGATTTTAACAATATCTACTTTTGATCTTCTGCTAACTGACTTCCTAACTTTAAATAGTATGTTTGAACAATAATTTTTTGACTTGTTAACTTTAGACAATCTTTAATAGTTCCCCATTACAAAAGATAAGGATTTAACTTAAACTATTTCCACCTTTCCTTCATCCATCCTTCTCCACGTTTGAGAGATACGTCATTTTAAATAATTTTGTTGGTTTATTTTACAGCATTGACCAATACAGTAATTATCTAGTTGTTCTCCCGTTAACTAAAGACCTTATCTTTTCATCTCCACTTTGAATACATAAGTAGCCCTACTCTTTCTTTCCTTTTTTCTCCCAACTAATTCTCAACCTCTTTCTCCTTTCTTTTTAACTTGTCAGCATTGTTTTGAACTTCATTTCGAATAAAATATGATTTCTTTCACTGTTTGCTGATATCAGAACACTGAAGACCAATAATTGGCATTTACATGATTTGGGCTATAAAAATTTTTTTTTAAGTATGAAAACCAGGTAGAAGCTAGGTATTTTCTTCACATCCAATGTCAACATGCACGTACCATTGGAAAGGGAATGTACTTACCACCTAGGTCAAATCAAGTCTACACATTCCATAAATCATTAAAATCATGCCATGTTTTGTTTTGCTTCATAATTGGTCCGAATTTCTGGTACATTTTTAATTTGTCTGTTTTTTGGTTGGCTAAAGAATGTGTGTCTTCCATATTTTCCAACTTTCTAGCTTCCCTATTGTACTGTCTATGGGGCAGAATAAAAATTCTTCCCAGAAAGCCCTCGACTGTGTGTTCTCATCCAAAATGGGTCTGCTGGACAAATGGCACCGTGGAGTGACACATTCTTTTGGATAATTATCACTCTAGGTGAGTTGTGCAACTGGCTAGCTGGTACTTGAGAATGAGACTTCTGGGGTGAAGTTTCTAGATCCGAGTTCTTCCTATTTCCTGGTTTTCATTATGTTTCTGGAGAACTTCCTCTAGGTACTTTCTCAATAAGGGTACAAAGGAGGGAGCCACAAAATGCCTTTATTTTGACCTTACTCTTATTTTGACCTTACTCTTATTTTGACCTTACTCTTATTTTGACCTTACTTATTTTGACCTTACTCTTTGCCAGTTTGCCTTCTACAGAATCCTGGGGATGTTTTCTTGAAGTTGTATGAGCACATTGTTCCCTTGACTGTTATAATTCAACATCCCTGAGGAAAAATCTGCCATCAATCTATTTCTCATTCTTTTTAGTTGAGCTAATTATGAGGATCTAATTTTTTTTCCCCTGGGCACTTTTAATATCATCCTCTACCCTTAACATTTCCAAATTTTGTAAGATTGTACCTAGACATGGGTTGTAACATTGGGCCTCTTCAATCTCAAGATGTAACTCTTTTCATTCTTCAAATCTTTTTATTCTTTACTCTTTTTAGGTTCTTTTTTCTAGCAACTCCTAATGGTTATATTTTGATTGTCTATACCTTTTTTGTTCTTTCATATTTTCTATTTATTTTTGCTCTATGTCCAAAGAGTCCTTCCATTTTATTTCCAGGCTGCCTACTGAATACTTTTGGAAGTTTATTTTGTTTTCAAAGATTTCTTGTTATTCTCAAAATTTTCCCTTTTTCTGTAAGATCTTATTATCATTTTACAAATGCAGCTCAACTCTGTCTGAAAATGTGGCTACAATTTTAAGTTACTTCTTTACCATGCTGACTTTGTTTCCTCCAGAGTGTGTAGGCCTTTTCAATCGTCCTTAATTCTTCTTGATTATTTTTCTCATGCTTTTCCCTTGCTCTTTCCTCCTCCCTTCCATATCTGGGGATTCCTAGATGAAAATTTACACTTAAGAATCAATTGTAACTACTGACATTTACAGATTTTGGTTGGATTTTCCTTTCCGTTGCATGGATAAGTCTTTATCTCCAGAGACCCTCATATGAGCAGGAACACTAGGTACTTAAGTAAGGGTCTCAACTCTCAGTAGAGAATTATCTGATAGGCTGGGGGGCACTTATTTTCACAAAAAGAGGAATTTTATCTGGAACACCAACTCTTACCTCTGGTCAGGCAGTTTATTCAATTCCTTTATACAAACAACAACAACAGCAACAATAATGAATTTTTAACTGATACCAACAGTAGGCTACTTGTGTTCTGTGTACAAGGGCAGGGCTAGAACAGGATGAGGGTGAGTTTTACAATGGGTACAATTCTTTAGTAGACAGACTTTCCTGGTGTTTGGGTCTCTTTGGGGTTCAGGTCTGCTTATATTCCGTCTGAAAGGTACCTTTGCTCTTTCATTTCCTTGCTTCATCCACTTTCTCTCTCCCAGAAGTGTGTTGAAACATTCTCCAATGGTCACCAAATACCTTCAGTTTTCTTGGCTAGGATTTGTCATTTTTTTCTGTCGTTTTTCTTGATGTCAGCTTCAGTGGGGCCTGAGGAGGGAAGGAAATAAACTCACATGATCAGCCCATTGTCTTAAACTGGACACCCTGCTTGAGGCTTTCAGGCAGGTGGTAACATGGATAACTTTATATATTTAAAAGATCCCCAATTCTCACTGCTAAAAAGGGATTAAAGAGGGCAAGCCTGAGTATCATTTTATTCTAAAAGATTGAGAGTATAATTTCTTCTCAGAGAACATGCAATTATCTGGCAATTTGGGGAGGCAGATGCTTACCAAAACAGGCCACCTTTCAATAGTCTAGAGAGAGTGCTTTCAGGATGCCCTAGAAAGGGTGATGGAGACCAAACCTAGCACCTAAAGGACTTGCCAGATCCTAGTGGCTCACCTAGCGCTGTCTACTGGGACATACTCCAGTAGCCTACCTCATAGTTTTCCTTTCTATAAGTGTTTGGGATAAACAAAGGGACTTTTTGTTCTGATAAAATTAGATGAGGGTTGAGAATAAGGAGCCAAGGCTCTAGTGAGTAGGAGCATAATGCTTTTTCTGTTTGCTTGATTTGCTTCTCATTTATTTGGTTATTCAAAGCACTGTAAGTAGACCACCCATTGTGTAATCAGAATGCCTAGGTTCAAATCCCAGATCTCTCATTTATTAGCAATAGAACCATACATAATGTATTTAATCTCCATAGAATTCAGGTCTCTTTCATAAAATAGGAGTGATTGCAGTTTCTATCTCATAAAATTATTGTGAAGATTAAATGAAACAATTTGTACAAACGAGCCAGTATTAATGCCTGGCACACTCAAGACTCCAAAATTAGGGGTCCCCAGTACCAGTTTGTAGCTTGTGAAGAACTAGGCTGCACACAGCAGCCTCATCTGTAGTTACAGCTGTCCCTTCACTTGCATTACCACCTGGGCTTCACCTCCTGTTAGATCTCAGTGGTGCTGGATCCTCATAGGAGAGTGAATCCTACTGTGAACTGTGTATGCAAGGTCCCTAGATTGTGGTCTCCTTATGAGAATCTAATGTAATAATACTAGAAATAAAGTGCATAATAAATGTAATGCCAAAAAGGCTGGGGGCTGATTCCACAAGAGACAGAAACTATTTTAAATGTGGAATGAATGAATGTACAACATCTATGTTCAAAGAACTTAGACAAAAGATATTCATGAAAAACAGGGAAATAATTCTAGGATAGAGAGAGGACATTATGAAGAAATCCAAAGAAAAACATGATGTAGGTGAAAGCTTATTGTACACACATTCCCCCAGTTTACAGTGAAGTAAATAAAATGGTGCATTAAAATAAGTGAAAAAAGAAGTGAGTTAAAGGAAAACTGCTGGATATAAACAACATGATTGCTAGAGGGTCAATTTCAGTTAAAATTATAAAGAAAAGTGGATGCGAGTGAAAGTAAATGGAGAAAATGTAACAGGATCTTTCATGTAATATAGAAGAAAACTGAAGTGGATCTTTTAATGTATGATAATTAAGTAAAGATTGGGATAATTTTATCTTGCTCCAAAGTGAAGTTTTCTATATGTGTTTGGTAACTCTTGATAGTGATTGTATCTTGAGTTGGTGTCCCTATGGAAATATACCCACCATCATGAAGCATGAAGCCGGATGGTTTGGTAAGGACAAGCACCATCTTGGAATTGTCCTTGTTTTTGTTAAGATTTCCACTCTTAATTTAATCAGAGAAGGAATTGGGCCTGAAAGATAGAATTAGGTACCAGAAGCCTGTACCAAAACCCCACTGTCCTTCCTTTAGGTTCATAAAAGAACACACAGCACTCCAAAGACTGGTGTATAAACTATAGGATGGGGTAAGGGAGGTGACAATTATGTACTGTATATTTCCAAAAGCTAGAAGAAAAGATTTGATTCAGTAGTACGATGAAATGACAGATGTTTGAGACAGATGTGTTTAACGTGAGTTAAACATTATGGTTTCCCATAAACTTTTATATTTTTATGTATCAGTTTAAGAAAAAAAAATTACAACTGTCCCTGTAACTATCATCAAAAAGTGACACCTGACTCTAAAATGATACTGAGTTAATTAGGTATAACAGTAACTAACATTTTCTCAACACTTACTAACTGCCAGGTACTGTTCTACTACTTTTAGAGATGATATAAAACGGAATTTGTACAATAACTTCATGAAATGTATCTCACTTTATAGAATGAGGAAACTGAGTCACAGAGAAGTTAAGACATTTGCCAGCATCATACAACTAATAGGGAAGAGACCCAGGATTTGAACTCTAGGCATCTACTTGTAGAAACGATGACCTTAACCACTTAACCTCTAAACTGTGGGAAGAGAATGGAAATAGGGTCTCATTACTCTGCAGACTAGCATAAAGTAAAGCGATCTCTCAGATGCTATGCACAGTTCTCAAGCTCTTTAAAAGCTCTTTAAAATTATCCATTTGCGTCTTGGTGACAATTCTGAAAAGCAGGGATTTGTATCTCCAATTCACATACAAGAAAATGGGGGTACAGAGAAGAATGAACCCCAGTTCTGGGTTCTTCTCACTATACTAGACTGCCTTTCAAGTGCTTTGAAAACTACCCAAGATAAAAACAATATATGAGGTATCAGGAGCTGTCTGGTTGTCATGGTAACTTTGTGTTCCAGGGGAGCTCTATGGTCAGAGTTTTGAATCAGATGATCAAAAATAAATCCAGACAGAGTCTTTAGGATGTGAAGTTGAGGAACACCCTCTATGGGCTCTAGCCCATGAGGATGGCCTGAAGGCCAATACAGACCACCAGATTGGGCCTTATGGGATCAGAAGGGAATCTGACAGCTGAGAGTAAAGAAGCAGGCTGCCCAGTAGAAGGCCTTGTTCCTGAGAAATCCTGACTCCAATTTTGCTGTGTTCTTAACCTACTTCCTAGAGACAGGAGTTGGTGATAAGACACAGCGGCAAGGCCAGGACCCTAGATGACAGAGGTGGAGGAACAAATACCACCTCTGCCTGCCTCCCCAAACCTCTCTACCTGCCACCTTGATGGGCACTCCTTACATCTGTGTGAGAAGGTACAGTTTCATAATATTTTCCTTCCATTCAGGCAGGTAGGCCAGGCTGGTAGCCACTTCCTTCTGGATGGGCCAGGCCCAGGCCTCAAAGAAGGGAGCCAGATTCTTCTGCACTTGGTGGGAGAACATCTTGACCCACAGATTCATTTTGTCGACATTGTCTGTGGGTAAGTTGCTCTGGTTCCTGTACTCAGTGAAGAGACGGATGAATGGCTCCCAACCAAAGGCCTCCTGGAGCTGGAAAGAGAAAGATGAGGCCAGTTGAGACATCTGGTCTACCAAAAAGAGGACTTACCAAACACAACATGAGGATTTTGTGTATTTAACTCCTACACATTAGCTCTGCACCTGTCGTGACTTTCTTTTTAGTTTTACATGTGGGTTTCATGCCCCACCCGCCCCTTCACTGTCTAATCCTAAGAAGGTCCCTAAGGTTTGTAAACAATCAGTGATGGCCTTGGTCATAACTGTAATGGTGATTATCGATAATTTCTACCACTACCATTATTCACCTATCTCATAAGATCATGGAAGTAGTGTTGGATATGTGGTAGTGTTCAAGTTTTTACACAAAAATTGAAAACTGCCTAAAGCAGAATGCTCCTGATTATCTTTCAGAGTTGCAAAGCTGAAGTCTAACAGTTTGGAAACTCCTTTCCCTATCCTCATTAACCATAGGGTGTGTCCATTCACTGGGCTACTAAAATGGTCTTTGCATGTGGGGTGGGAGGAGAAGTGAGTCAGGTAGATGTAAAACACTATAGAGAGTCTAACCAGACTTAGGAGTAAATTATAATTTTAGAAAGAGGCAGCCATCTTCAGGGTACTGGGAAGAGCCCCAGCTAGCCAGGGTTACAGACCTCTTGAGTTATGAGGCATACAGGAAACTGACCAAGACCAACCTAACTTTACTTGCTTAATGAGGAACATTTATTCCTGGGGCCAAGCATCCAGACAGCAAGGTGGACGCAGAGCCTCTTTGACTGTTCGGACTATTCTCATGGAAGAACCAGAATAGAGCATGCTAGGCCTCAATCCAAGGCAATGCCGCGCCCCAAAGCTATCCAGGAAATGATCTGGGAACTGGGGGCAGAGAACATGGCCTCCAATGATAGATCAAAGGGAGACACCTTCCATCCCCAGGGCAGTTAGGACTCTTGGGTTGCTTATATAAGGCAAAATTTGAGGCACAGTCAAGTCACAAGGAGACGGCACATTCATCTAAGGGAAAAACAGGTCATAATCCTCGTGTAGAGAGAGAGTGCGTGTGTGTGTGTATGTGTGTGTATGCAAGGAAAAGTCCTTTGGTTTTGACAGCGATGAGGCAGGAGAGTTTGGCTTCATTCTCAGATATGCCTTGTTTTAAAGCCAGGGAGAGTAAGTACAGTGCTGCATTCGCTTCTGCCAATTTTAAGATTTCACAGTGCTCTCTCTCTATTGATGTATCTCAGTGGGGTGCTGCTGAGTCTGTTAAGCCCACCTTAGGGTCTTGCCAGTTAATACACTGAGAGATATGGTTACAGAACGATCACACTGGGACTGTGGCGGGGTTTTCTGAATGTGAAAAGGCAAATGCACTGTGAGGTTGCCCGGGCCACTAGAATATCATCTAACCACATGGGCCCTATAGGGCCTCCCGCCCTCCTCCACTCCTGCTCAGTACCTGCAGATATGTTTCCAGTGCAGTCCAGGCATTCCAGTTTTTCACATTGGGCCCTTTGCTCAGGTAGATTCGGACCCGCTTCTCCCGAACGGGGGGCCACAGGGCAATATTGGCACGGCCTCGAGGAATGCCCAAGACCGTCTCGTGCACGTACACACACCACAGGTTGCAGGTGGCCTCGGTGGTGTGCGGTGGGAATTCCCACTCCTGCCGCTGCTGGTTGCGGCCCAGCTCGTGCACGGGGCCCCACAGCCCCTTGGTTCTGATGAGCTTCTCATTGATGAGCTCTTGCACAGACTCCAGGTGGCACATGATGGGGTAGCCAGCATGCATCCAGCCTGGAAATGTAGGAGGGAAGAGCGAAAGGTCAGGTCTTCTCAACCATCTCACGAAATTCTTCTCTGAACTCTTTCTCTTCCAATCCGATAGCCTCAGACAGCTTCATGCACCCCTACTGCTCAGAAGGGCACCTCGAGCTCAGACTTCCTGGCTTGCTTTCCTGTGCCCTCATCTGCACTCCATCCTGAGCCAGAGTTGCCTGGGCAGAGGCTACAGGCTGCAGGGGGCCATTCCTGCCACTACTCTTTCACTTTTTACAGCGGTGCTTTATCTATGTGATTCTGTGTTACATCCTTTTCTCAAAATTCAGAACTCCTGTTATTATCAGATATGGATTTGCCCACAATAGCACCACTTTACAAGGATTACCTATGCTAGCCAAGAAAAGGAAGATCTAGAGAAATTTCCGTCACTCTTCAGTGTCTATACAGCCACCCCATCCCCCAATTTTGATCCACAGCCAAAGAACACTTTATTCAATGCCTTTCAAGTGAAGGCTCCCTGCTATCTTTACCCACTCCTTGAAGTCTCTCGAAGGCCGCCCTCCAAGGTAACACGTCTTGGTGCTTTTGATGGCATCTCTTGACATGCTGACTTAAACTGTTATCTATTTCTTATATTTATCTTTTCTTTTCTGCTTAAATAGCAAGGAGTACACGTACTACAGGCTTTGCGAGCAACACATTTTTGCCCTCTTGGCTGTGGCAAGAAGGGCACATGGGGGCAGCACACACAGAGGGTTCTCTTGCAGTACTCACCCACTGAGATCTGCACATCAGCCACGATCCTCTGGGGCAGGCGCAAAGGGAACGGCTCGCCACCCAGTCTCGCCACAGCCTGCATCACTTCGTCCCAGAGGCGGAGCAGTGGCTCGGGGTTCTCCAGAGCACGCAGGTTTGCAGTTGGCACTGTCAGGATGATGTTATCGGTGGCCAGCTCTCCCCAGGGACCTGGGTTCTCCTGGATTTGTCTTTTCCACTCCTCCTGGGTTGTCTTCCCTAGGAAAAGAGGCCAGAGAGCTTGAAACACACATTCCCAAATCCCTTAAGTTAACACATACAATTTAGATCCCAGATGGGAGAGAGCCCACATCATGGACAGCCAGATCCCTCCCTCTACCCTTCTATGAAGTCCCTATCAGTGTGGTTTGATCTTCATATTGTTGGCCCAAGGCAGAATCTAAGGAAGCCACCTTCCTTCCCTCCGTTAATTTGTGCCTTTCTTCTCTTACATCAAACACCCACAATCACATCCTTGCCCCAAGCCTTTCCTTTCCCCTTCGGCTCATCCCACAGGTTCTACTCACCCAGCTTGTAGTAGGGAGCATGCACAGCTCCTTTCACGGTGACGGGCACAGAACCCAGCTTGCTGTTCTGAGGCACGATGATATAGAGGAGTCCACCCCAGAGGCAGGTGACTGGCTTCGTGGGCTTGTCCAAGCAGCACCGGTTAATCACGAGGGGTCCTCGGAACAGCTTGCTGGCCCTGGTCAGGTCATCTGTGTGGCAGCCAATCTGTATCTGGTGTAGAGAAATCCCCCACCAGAGTCACCACAGGGCATGTATGGGCAGAAAGAGAGAGCCCAAGAGGTAGGGATTCAGGAAGAATCATCAGGCCACAACCCGAGGCACCACTGAGATAGTGTGTGAAGCTGAGAGTGCGAGATAGACTCGTGGACTTGTAGTATTCCTCACAAACATGCGGACTGCTTTATGGGTGTATCTTCTGGAACGGGATTTGAGCAGCTCCACCGTGGATCATGTGGAGACATTAATGTGCGAAGCAGTACGCACGACCTGTAAGGCTAACTCCGAGGAGCGCAGACTCTATAGATGGCCCTGTTATGTCTTTGTAACAGAAAGAATTCGGGGTTGACTATCCCACGGTGGCAATTCTGGCATTGGGGAGGGGGCAGCGGGGACTCTGACCTTTGCAGAGCAGCAAGAGGGCTGGTGCAAGGCAGTATAATCTGGCTGATGTTAACAGAAGACACTTTAATTCCTTCCCTGTTCCTGAGAAGTGAAATGATGCTTGCACCTGATAGTCTTGGAATTGCTTACCTTGAGATTTTGCTAAGTGAGAGACAGGATAGATACAGGCATGTGGTAGACCTTTACCATCTCAATAACCCACTGATGGGCAACAGCAGGATGACAATTTAACGTTGGGAATAGAATGCATGTTTGTGGAAGGGATAAAGCAGAGGGTAGACTAGAGATATTAAGGAATACTCTTTTTTGGGTGTCATGGGAAAGGAGACAGAATGAGAAAGACCTTAGGCTATAGTGGGAGATGCCTGTGGGGTTGGGTAATGAGCTAAGGTTTATTCACTATAAGCCGAGCAATGGAGTCCCTTCAATTTGATAGCTCTCCCTCTCCTCACTCTGGAGATATGACAAAAGCACAGTCCTGAAGACCCACAAGTTGGTTAGTTTTGGGTCCTGGGCTCTGAAATGCATCAGGTTCACATTTAGCTTTTATGCAACCTAGTTGCCTCATCCTTGAAATGAGATAACAAAACCTACTCTATACTGCCAGTAGGGTTTAAGAGGACCAAATAAGACATCAACCAGGAAGGCAACTCAGGTGCCCCGTCACCTGATGAGACAGATGGGGCTTGGCCTCACCTTCAGATCGGCAGAGGCAGCAGCTTCAGGCAGTGAGACTTCTATGATTTGCCTTCCAGGTATGTAGAGGCCAGTACTCATCCAGCAGTACCGGGTGCCTGCAGAAAGCACAGAAGGGCAAGCTTGATCTCTTCTCTGTGTCTCTGCCCTGCCCAGCGCTCCATAGACCCTCCCTGAGCTCTGCACAACTCTTCCCCTTCATGCTGCTGGTGCCTTGACCAATTTCTTTCAGAATCCCAGTCCTTAGTTTCTCAAAAGACTATGGCAAAAGATGGAGGCACCCTCTGCAGGTACTCAGCTCCCCATATGAACTGCTGCAATCACAAACTGCTCATCCACTCATCCTTGTAACACTGAGCTTCCAGCCCTCTGGCCTTACCTGGATTGGTGCAGTTGACCTCAACGGTGATGGGAGACTCCAAGGGGCGCAGGTAAGGGGTGCTGTACATGTCTTCAATTTCTGGGACTAAGAGAGAGAGGTCACTTCCAGAGTGGGCCAGGCCCGTGGCCAGAGACAGCATAGCGCCCCTGCAGCAGTCATTGATGACAGGGTTCTCTCTGGTGGCCACTGGAAGACGATAGCGACTCAGCAGCTTCCGCAGAAGCCGATGCACAGACATGTAGGCGGGGATCTCTTCGGCGGGGATCTGCAGGAAAGCTGCACCATCGGGTCCCAGCTTTGCCAGCCAGCCCTTCTCCACATTCCCTCTCTTCCGACCCATGATAACCTGAAACTCGGCCAGAGTGGAGCGGAAGTGATAGGTCCTTATTCCTGCTTTGGGGGTACGGAACGGCCCTGGGTTGAGGCTTTGGCTTGTGATGCTGATGCCAAAGGGGTTAAGAAGGAGGTTTCCTGGGAATCGAGCCAGAGGGGACACTCCGGGGTTCTTGAAGGCCCACCACCAAGCTTGAGCTCCAACGAATAACCCGCCGCCCTCTGCTACAAACTCCTGCAGCTCTTTGACATCCACGTTGCTCACGGGTTCAAAGCAATAGACACTGGCATCGCTGGTCAGATGCGGCTCGATGCTGGTGTCGATACCCCCCACGGCAAGCAGTCCGCTCAGCGTTCGCAGCTCGGTCTGCACCACGATCTTGCCTCTTCGGCCTCCATCCAGCCAGCGGACAGCATTGAGCAGAAAGGGGCCCAGTTTCCCCACGGTGAATAATACTTTATGGCCAGTCACAACCACCCGGCCTCGGCCGTAGCGGGCAGCGGCTATAACACAGCCATGGTAGGTATCTAAGCCCAGAGGAAAGGCTAAGGCCCCGTGCACAAGCAGCTGGGATGGAAAACAATCTGAGTTGCTGATGTCCAACTCTGAAATCCCATGCAGGAGCTCGTCTCTGTCCTCGGACAGGTCATCTTCACAACTGCAAAACACACATGCACGCTCGATTAAAGGAACAGCTCTTAGAACAAGCCAAGCATGCAGCAAGTACTAGAGATCTGTCAGATTTGTGAGGAGAGCAGAGTGGGCAGGTCTGACTTCACTGAGCACGGAGATTTATGGGAGTGGGGGAGGTGAGTGGCATCAACTCTACTTTGACCATCTGGCTACCTTAACCCAGTAGGGCTTGATTGTTTCCATCAAGATTTCTACCCTTTCACTGCCCGCCCAACAGGAGTGGTGCACGCTATCTTTTTTGTTGCTGTATTTTATTTTTGTTCAGCCATGTGTTTACACTCTTGACCCTAGAAAGTAACCTGTATAGTTGTTTTCTATAGGGAATCCATGCCTAGAATATCTCCAAAAAACCCCTAAAGGTAAACAAAGACCTGGACACCCAGTGGGATTAAGTTTAGGGAATAGGAGAGATCTCTGTAAGCTTAAGATTCTGAAATTGTGCTGTCACTTGTGTTAGGAATGGCAAATGCATGATCAGAAGGCAGATTTGCAGAAATACCAAAAAAATGAAGGTCAGGTAGAGAACATAATCATAGGATTTGTGTTGTACTATTTGGGGGTAGCAGAGCTTTAACTGATTAGAAAATTGCTTCTCACAGTGGAGCTTTTCCTGAAGATGAAGGCATCAACCTACAATTCGGAGATAAGTCTCCCTCTCCTTGAAGCACTCACCATTAAAATCATTCAACTAGCTCTTCTCGCTCCGCTTTTGGGTTTATCAAACAACCTTATGACTATAATCTTGCTTCCCATGATCAACTGCTTGAAGATGCCCATAAGCCATTGGTCAGGCCAACCAGAATACTCTACATTGGTGACATTTACTTTTCTTAAGCAATACCTTGGGCAATCTTTCTTTATCTTGATAATTTTTAAAAAATGAAGTTTCAGAAAATCTCAAATATCTATGCAAAACTAAAAAACACACAAAAAAACTAAATACAATAGAGACACCAATTTGTTAGAAAAAGCTGCAGTGGGCAATTTAAAGATTAAAAATAACATGGTAAATACATATATTGGTATATAACAAAGATGCATTTTAAAATACTGGGGAAAAGATAGACATTTTCATAAAGGTGCTGAACAACTGGTTAGTTATGATGTATATTTAGAGTGGAGTATAATACTGCTATAAAAATAAGGAAAATTTCTATGCATTGTCAGAGAATGAAAACCAAGTTATAGTGTACTGAGAGAAAGATTACACCAAACACAAAAATCAACTCAAAATGGATGAAAGACCTAAAGGTAAGCCTGAAATCATAAGATACCCAGAAGAAAACATTGGGAACAGCCACTAAGTATTGGTCTAATGAATGATTTTTTTGGCTATCATGAGCAAAGCACAGGTAACCAAAGCCCAAAGTAAACAAGTGAGACTACATCAAACTAAAATGTTTAGGGCTGGGGATTTAGCTCAGTGGCAAAGCGCCTGCCTGGCAAGCGCAAGGTAGTGAGTTCGATTCCTGGTACCGGAAGAAAAAAAAAACTAAAATGTTTCTTCACAGCAAGGAAAAACAAAACCCAACAAAGGGAAAAGGCAGGGTATGGATCTAGAGAAAAATATATACAAGTTGTGTATCAGGTAAGGGTTTATAGCCATAATATATAAAGAACACATATAACTCAATAACAAACTAATAATAATTAACCATAACACAATTGAAAAAGGGCCACACACCTGAATAGCAGACCTATGGAAGACATTCAACATCATTTCTAATTATTAGAGAAATGGAAATCAAAACCATGATGAGAATACCTCATCCTGTGGAAATAACTGTTATGAAAAAATCAAGAGATAAATGTTCACAAGGATATAGAGAAAGGAGAATTCTTATACAGTGTTGGTAGGGATATAAATGGGTACATACAGAATATGTTCTACATTGGTGCATGTAGAATTTTCTACAAGATAGAAAATAGTTTGTAGGTTCCTTGAAAATTTTAAAATGGAAAAAAAAAAAAGAAAAGAAAATTTTAAAATGGAGCTACCATGTAATCTAGCACCTTGGAGCAACATCTGCATCCGCATGTTCATTGTAATGTCTTTCACAGTAGACAAGACCCAGTACAGGCATGATCTAAACGTCTATCAGTGGATGAATAGATAAAGAAATTATGACATATACATGCCAAAACTACATACGTGTCAATCATGAACTCTAAACACCTATTTTTAAAAAATCTTCATTGACATACGATAAAATTCATCCTTTTTTAAAGTATATCTTGATCAGCTTCTGCTAAAATTATACAACTGAGTAACCACCACAATTTTATACAAATACACAGAAAAATTTCCACCACACCAAAAATCTACTTTGCACCAGCTCCCTATGCCAGCATAGAAAGTCACAAGTGTGCATTCTGTACATGCAGGTTAGATTTATTTCTTCTAAAGTTTCATATAAATGTAATCCTAAAGTACGTACTCTTTTGACTTTGGCTTCTTTCACCCAGAATAACTTTTAAAAAACCATCTATGTCGGTGAGCCTAGCAATAATTTTTTCCCTTGTATTGTTGACCATTTTGCAATGAGGAAGATATTCTGCATTTTGTTTAATCATTTTGCCGTGAAGGGGCATTGGGATAACTTTCAGGTTGAGTCTCCTGCACAATAGTTTGTGTCAACATGCCTTCATTTCTCTTGGGTTAGAGTTGGATGAGTTTTGTGTTAAACGTACATTAACTTTATAAGAAATTGGGAGTAATTTTAGTCATTTTTTTAATTTAAAGGAGGGTAAGATATTTTGTTGTGACTTTAATTTGCATTTGCCTGAAGACTAATAATGTTGAGAATCATTTCATGGGTGTTTTGGGCTTTCATTTATTTTCTTTTGTGAAGCTAAAATATTTTGCCTTTTTAAAAACTGTCTTACTGAGATGCAAGAGTTCTTTATATTCTGAACAGAAGTTCATTGTTAAACATGCAAAAATTTTGTTTTGATCTGTAGTTTGCATTTTAGTTTTCTTAATATTGCACATGGAACTACAGAAGTTACAGTTTTTAAATAAAGTTGAATTTATCAGTCTTTTCCTTTTATGATCACACACTTTTTGCGTCTTATGTAGCTAATCTTTGTCTAATACCGCAGGCATTTTCTTCAGTGCTTTCATTTGGAAGGTTTGGAGTTTCTGCCTTAGTATTTAGGTCTACGTCTAAGTATTGTTTTATGTGGAGTGGGATAAGGGACATATGTCATTTTTTATCATCAGAGTATCCAGTTGTGTCAGAACTATCTGTTGAAAGGGCTATCCTTTCCTCACTGATTACCTTGGTAAAAAAAACAATTGAGCATAAACTTGAGAGTCTATCTATGAACTATCTCAGATTCAGTGGTCCGTTTCTCTACCCTTGTGTCAATATTGCAGTGTTTTGGTTGCTTCAGCCTTATAAAAATTTCAAAATTGGCGAGTTTCCAATAAGTTTCCACCTTTATTCTTCATTTTTAGAATAGGCTTGGTGATTTTAATTCTTTTTCATTTGTTTATTAGTTTTAGAACCAATGTGAACTTTGGTTGAGACTGCATGTAGTCTATAGGACACTTTTGGAGAAAAAATCAGTATCTTAGAAATGTTGAATATTCTGAGCTGGGCATGGTGGCAGACATCTGTAATCTCAGTACTTAGGAGTCCAAGGCAGAAGGATGGTAAACACAGAAGTCTGACTTCAGGCTGGGTTATACAGTAAGTTATAAGGTAGCCTGGACTATATAATGAGACCATATCTCAAAACAACAACGACAAACTAGGAAACAAGGGACAGAAGAAGGAAGGAAGATCCAGTGTGCTGATCCATCAGTATGGTATATTTCTACACCTCTTCAGTTTTTACTTAATTTTTCTCAATAATACTTTACAGTTTGCAATACGCTGTGACACATTTTGTTAAATTTAACTCAGCATTTCTTCATTTTAGATTCTATTTTAAATGATGACGTCTTTTACTTTAATTACCAACTGTTAGGTTCTAGTATATAAAAATGTAACTAATTTTTATATCTTACAACCTTGGTGAAGTCAAGTATCTTGGAAGCTTTTTTGAGATTCTCTTTACATAATAGTTATATCTTCTGCAAATACTTCTAGGGACAAAATAATCCCACTGTAGGAAGTACACTGACCTCATGCTCAGAAGACTCTTATCATTCACAACTATTCTAAATATCCAAAATAGTTTTTTTTTTATCTTTTGCTGTCTTGGTAATCTGGTTTTTAACACCAAGATTCAAATTTTTCCTGTCTCTTTAGCTCAGTGCTCTAGGAAAGATATCGGTCATGTCCTTTTAGCCACAGTTTCACTTTCTGCAATTTTAGTTTACCAGTTAGATGTAGTCCATAAATACTGAAAGGAAAATTATAGAAATGAACAACTCACATGTTTTCAATTGTGCACCATTCTGACTAGCGTGATGAAATCTCACACCATGGAGGGGCCTGATTCATCCCTTTGTCCTGTGTGCACAGACTGTTTACTCTATGCCTTCTTTTACTTTTCTTATTGCACTGGCTAGCACCTCTAGTACAATGTAGAACAGAACGGGTAAGAGCAGATGTTCTTCCATATCTTATTTCAATTTCAGGGGAAAACATTCAATATTACACTATTAAGAATCTTTTTTTTAGCTAAATACTTCTTAGCAGATAGAAAATTCCTTCTCATTTCCAGTTTGCTGAAATTTGACCACGATTTAAAATTGAACTGTCACTATTTTTAATGCAATTATTGAATTACACGGCTTTCTCAATTTTTCTATTAATATGTTAAGTTCATTTGATTTTTGAATGTTAAATCACCCATGCACACCTTGTACATCCCTACTTCATTATGATGTATTATCATTTGTATACTGTTGTATTCTGCTTGCTGATATCTTATTATTAACTTTGCATACATGTTCATGAGGGATATTGTTCTATGGTTTTCTTTTCTTACAGTATTTTTCTTGGATGTTAGTCTCAGAAAAATGCTGATTTAATAAATCAAGTTGGGAAAAAGTTTTTCTTCTACTTTCTGGAAGAGTTTGTTTAGATGGTTAGTATTTCTTCCTTAAATGTTTGATCAGCTTCACATTTAAAACTATCAGGGACTGGCGTTTTCTTTGTGTTGTGGGTTGTAAAGAGAAATTTTATTTTGGATTTTTTAAAATTGAAAAGCCGCAGATACAGTACAGAGAATTTCTATGTACTTTTGACTCATTTTCACCTAACATTAATGTCTTATACATATGGTATATTTGGCAAAACTAAGATGTTAACACTTGTCAAACACTATTAACTAAACTCCAGACTTTACATAAATTTTACCAGTTTTTTCACCAATGCCTTTTACTACTCAATCCAGGATAACATGGTGCACTTAGACTTGGGATATTTTAGTTAGAATTCAGCATACATTTTTTTTCTTGTGTCAATTTTGGTAATTTATGTCTATTAGGAAATGTGCATTTCATCTGACTGACAAACTTATTTGCATAAACATAATTTCCTCTCATCATTTTGATGGGACTTGTATTAACATTTTCTCTTTCAGTTTTGAAGTATGTAACTTGTGCTAACACTCCTATTGTCATGATCAGTGGTGCGTTACTTACTTACTTCTATTCTTTATCAACTAACCAATTTGGTTTCACCGGCTTATTCTCTATGTATCTAAAATACAACTAGCAATGACTTCTAAGGATATGCAGATACTTGTTATAAATAAATTTATTAAAACTTGCTTAGGTATTTTTTTTTCAAAGCCACTTGGAGAATATTTGTGTTTATTTGACAATTTGTCTCCTCTGAGACAATTTCAATTTTTAAAATTTTGAAATCTCCTTAGTAATCCAGAAGTCAAATCATTTTTATGGCTAATAGCCTTTCACCATTTTGCAAAGCAAAAATGACACATCTAGCATCGACTTATAATGTTGATTAATTCAGAGGTCAAAGAGCTGTCTTCAAACCAAGGTACTTGGACCACACTTGGGCATAGAGATTATGGCATCTGTATAATCTTTTTTTTTAATGCATCTCTGATAACTTTGTGAATGTGCAAGGAACACTACAGTCTGAAAAACCACAGTCCCCTGGGAGTAATAACTTCCCCTGGAAGTAATAACTTCCCCTGGAAGTTTCTACTCCTTTTACAGGAAGAAAGAAACTTTGAAGCACATTTAAATGCCATGCCAGGCAATCACTGGTCATGGATTCCCAGTTTCCCTATATACTGAACTACAATAACGTAGTCCTCTATAGCAGTTATTTGGTTTTTGACATTTCTTCTAGATCTTTCTATTAGATGTAGTTTTGGGCCTTTAGTTTTCATATCTTTGCAAATTGTGTTTTTAAGAAATGTCAAGAATGTAGGATATATTCCATGAGTGGATAAATAAACCTCTGAACTACTTCATAGAAGCCCAGTACATGGTTCTTTGGGTCAGGAATGCTTTTGTTTAGGAACATTTTGTTTCCCAAACAGAAGGGTTTGGCAAAGTTTGCTTTTGTTTATAAACTCTATGTCAGGTGACAAACACAACTGCTGCCATCTTTCCTGCATGAACACAAACATGGCCATCATTTCCAGAATCACGGAACAAATTGCATTTGTGAGCTGAAGTATCACTGTATTTAGGTTACAATGGGGCAAAGTGTTATCTAGAAGGCAAAACAGACAAGCTGTTCTGTTTGATTTTCCCAAAACACTGGTGCCTAGGAGAGGTCAAAGTTCATTCTCATACTTCCAACTTCCTCCACGCGTCTTCCTCACCCAATCCCACCTTACCCTGATCCTAGCAGCCAGAAGTATCAGTGCTCTTTGTTCCAAGGAAGATGAAAATTTTAATGTACAACAGGGAGTGGCCTCAAGTACTTTTTCTACCCCTGATGGCATTGCAGCTATTTGTATCCATCTATATTCATCCATCTAATTTTATTTTATTTTTATTTTTATTTTTGGTTTTTCTTGGGTACCAGGAACCGAACTCATGACCTTGCGCTTGCCAGGCAGGCGCTTTTGCTGCTGAGCTAAATCCCCAGCCCCCATCCATCTAATTTTATGTCCAGTAAATATTTACTGAGTACCTATTAACCTGCCACACGTACAGCACTATGTGTGAACGAAGCAAACTAGGTGATGTTTTCAAAGAATTTTCATTCAGTGCATCCACTCTCTTCACTCCTGAACTTATACTCTTCATTCTCAGTTATTTATTCTTGGTCCCTAGAGACAAAAATCCCCCTCTTAAGTCCTATACTTGGCACACACAGTTACTACTATCTACTTTGCTACCCCAACTTCGGAATCTTCTATTTGCTATTTCCCCATCTGGTTGGACACTGCCAGATTTTTCCCACTTCTCTCTAGCCTCTGTTTACGGGTTCCTGAGTGTTTTCCTTTTCCTTGCATTTTGGTTGAAAGAATCCTCTACAGACCTTTCTGGGTTATTCTGCCATCTCTTAGGGTCATCAGTGTATTTGTCAAGCTAGTATTGGGTGATTCCATGGCAATAAAGAAATACTCCCATCAAACAGCACAATAATCTGGCCTGGGAAGGCAGGAATAATGAAGACTTTGCCCCTCCTGGGCTTTACAGCATTTTAGAAATCTACTTGTTCTGTGAAGAATTCGTGTCTGAGTGCCAGATTCTCTTCTGTTAACTTTGAAGTGAAATGAAGGTAAGAACCACATCTACTTTTTAACCTGGGGCCAACTCCACACTAGGGTAAGATACTCACCTAACTAAGACTGGGATCTTGGGCATCTTCTTTGAGACTTTAAAGAAACTGGTGTCCCCTTTGTTGTCAGTGAAGTACACGCCTGCCACACTGGTCACCAGGTTCCCAGGGAATGTGAACAGAACCCTTTCATCATCACCCTGGTTGGCCCAATCCCAGGCCTGGCCTCCCATGAGCAAGCCTCCTCCGCGCTTCATAAACTGGACCAGCTTTTCCGTCATGGTTTCGTTGTAGGCATCGATACAGTAAACCCCTAAGGAGTCGTTCACTTCTGGCTCGATCTTTGCCTCTACTCCAACACCCTCGAAGACTTTGACCAAAGGTGCCAGGGATGGGTGCACCCCAATGGGAGCCCCAGGGGAGGAACAAAGCCACCCCACAGCATTGACGAGAAAGGGAGAGAGCTGGGTCTCCACCAAGTAGTCTTCATGGGATAAGACTACCAGGCGGCCTCGGCCGTAGGAGGAGGCAGCAATGAGCACTTGGCCCATGTCATTCACCATCACAGGAAATGAGGCCTCCCCGATAAGAAGCAGTTCACACGGGACGGCATCTTCAGGGAGATCCCAGCTTGTCACTCCATTCATAAGGGCCTCGAAGGCAGCAGAGGGAGTCGCCATGGCTCCAGCACTTTCTGCAGAGAAGAAAGCAAAGAGTCAGCTTGGTAAGGAGCAGGCAAACAAACAAACAAAAACAAGCAGAATTTGTCCCTTTCCCACCAGACAGTGCAACTCACAATACAAATACCCTGACACATGATATGACTACAGTTCTCAGTGCCTCGGTCTGCAGTCAAGGAAGACCTGTTATGGCCTGGCCACAAACTCACAGCATCACACTCAGTGAGTATGACACTGTTCCATCACAGATGGACAAAAGCAGAAGGGAAAAATAAAGGCGGAACTGTATCCACTGAAGAGATATCTTGAAGCCCTGAGTATCTGGGAATGTGACCTGAGGAAATAGGGTCTATCAAGTGCAGTCGGTTAAGATGAGGCCATATTGGATTTGGATGGGCCCGGGCCAATGGCTGATGTCATAACAAGAAAAGGAAATTTAGGCAGAGAGATACAGACACACAGAGGAAGATGTTATCACAAGATGGAGGCAGAGGTAACAGTTAGGTGTCCATGAGCCAAGGAACACCGAAGAGTTAGGTAAAAACCAGATGCTCACGTTAGACAGGCATGGACAGCTTCCACCTCTGAAGCTCTGGAAGGAACCAACATGGCTGACGCCTGGATACTGAACTTCTAAGCTTCGAGAACTGTGCGTGCATACATTTCAGCTTTGTAAACCACTCTATTTGTGCTCACTTGATACGGCAGCCTCAAAGAACTGACAGAGTGGTGCCACATGTTTACTTCCAATACCCGTTTCGCCTTTCTTGGCCTCCACACTGATTTCATTAATCCCCGCTTGGACAACTTAGAACTTCAGTCCAAAATGTCTGTGTTCTCAGAGAAGGTTCTTTGGTCAAAGTCATAGCCTGAGGAAGAGGGAAAACTAAGTCCTCTCTCTATAGGATCCAAGTGCTGGACAATCAAGTGCTGATGGCAACAAGTCACGAAATGAGGGCAGATTCTTGCCGGCACGGGAACACAGCCAAGGAAGATTGGATTCTCCGTGGATGTGAACTCACAACTGTCCTCTGCTTCACCATGAGCTCCTCTTAAGGATGCTCCACAGTCTGACCTACATGAACTTGACTGAAACAGACCTCCAAAAACAGAGGCATTTCATAATTAGGACATCCACAGCTTCTTGTCCTGACTACCCAGCAGCTCTGGACGTGGATGCTTTTCCTGTCCTGAGTAAGCTCTTTGTAAAAAAAAATTTTTTTTTGAGACTGTCTCACTATGTAGCCGAGGTTGGCCTTGATCTCATGGTGGTCCTCCTGCCTCAGCCTCCTGAGTGCTAGAATTACAAGCGTGTGCCACCATACCCGACTCTGAGCAAACTCTTTATCTTCAACTTCTGGTACCACTTATTTTCTATTCTTTCATTTCTTGGAATAAGTGGGCATTTCTTAAGTTTCCATCTTTGGCCTTTGCCTCTTCTCTATTTTTCTTGTCAAGAAAGACGCTCCTTGTCTTAACCTATTTAATGGTGCTGAAACAGAATTCCTGAGACTGGAAATTTATAAAGAACAGATATGTTTTTCTTTAGTATTCTGGAGGCAGGGAAGTACAAGATGAGGGACAGACAGCCAGTGAGAGCCTTTGTGCTACCTCGGCCCATGGCAGAAGGTAGAAGGGCCATGGTCCACATGTGAGAGAGAACAAGGAAGGGGACTGAATGGTTCTTCTTATCAGAAACGCATTCTAGTAAGAACTAACCCACTACCTGGACAATGGCATTAATCCATTCCCAAGGACTCTGAATTCAGCACCATCTCTTAAAGATCTCCTTTCTCAGCACACTTGCACTGGCGATTAAAATGCACACTGAGGGACACATCCAAACCACAAGACTCACTCTCATATGCAAAATAAATACAGGTTCAGGTGTTGGAGTTAAGGCTCTCTAGATTTGAATTTCAGGCAGGTCTGATTAACTGCAAGACTTGGATAACATATCTTAGACTTAGTTTCATTATTCATCAAATAGAAATAATAGCATCAATCACACAAGGTTCTGAGGATTAGAGCAAATAATGCAGGGTGTATGTGCTTTCATCAGCAGTTATTTTTATATACACATATATATGCATGCATAAACATTTATTTGGTTAAAGAGAAATCATGTAAATATGTGAAAATAGAGAATTCTTGCAAACTGAAAGAAGAAATCTAACAATGTTGGGTTTTAGGAACACTGGATTGAATATTTATTGGTTCAGAATTTTTTTAATTTTAATGACGAACGAAAACAATAAACACACATTTAGAAAATAACACAAAAACAATACAAGCAATACAGAATCTCAGACAAGGTGACAGGTAATAAACAACAGTTGTTGTATTACATATTGATATTCTCAGTTTGGATACTCAGATAAACAAATATAGACATGTAACATTGATCACCTCCTAAACATTAACTGTTCCTTTCAATAGAGCAATAAAAGTCAGTAGTACAGCTATGTTAGCTATCCTGTGTATACATATATATATATTTTCCCCCTTCTTTCTTTTCTCTTTTCGCTCATTCCAGTTGTTCTTTCCTTTTGGGCAGTTTCCTTCCCTTTCAAAATGTCTATTGTACCTCCTAGATTCTATTCACTCTTTCTGGTTGTTACACTAGTGAGACAATACTGGTTCAGATTTTATATTTGTCATTTTTGCAGTCAACATTAAGACTAATGGTAATACTTGTGCTAAAGATTATTATGTTTATTTTTCAAGTATCTGCATGAGTCCTTGAAAAGGTCTTTGACAGCACAGTGCCTTCCTCAGCTACCTGTTCTGAGGTGGTTAAAAAGGTCAAGACCCCGACTGAAGCAGCACAGTAATCATTTAGAGCTGGTTTCTGAAACTAATGACATCTTAAACTCATCTGAGGTAAAGTGCTCCTCTGAGGTAAACTGCATAAGCTCTTAGCAGTTAAATACCACATACACATCATCTATCCACCTACCTATCTGCCTGCCTACCCCAGAGAACTATTGACAACATACAACCAGGAAGCACATGGCTAATAAGAAGCTTGTTTATTCTTTACCCCTCCTGGTGTTCACAAATAACTAGGACAGTAAACCACAGAGTCACAGAACATCCCTTCTTCCTGTTATTCCCATATCCAGCTGGTCACAAGGACTGTCAATGTCCTTGTCCACAACTTTCAGTCACACTGCTGTTAACCTATTTAGATCTTTAGTAATTCATGTCTAGACTAAACCAATCCAATTTTTAAGTCACCAGGCTCTGTTCTTAGAACCTCTCTAACCATATTATTTTCTGGAAGAAATCCCCAGAGCTTCACCTGTGTCCAGAGGGGAAGACCTGGCTCCTTCCTCCTGGTTTTTGATGACTCCAGGGTGGTAGCTCCTTCACTCATCTCTGGTTCCTTCCCTCCATCCAGCTACCAGCCTACCTGGTACCACTAGACAGACCCTGCTTCCAGTTCAGATCAGTTCCATGCACTTTCCTTCCCTTCTCACTCTTTCTATCTGTGGAAATCCTACTCTTCTAAGTGAAGATATGCACAGAAGGGCAAAGTTAACTGGCCATCTTTAAGAGAACAAAAATGCACAATCTCATCAGTCAGTAGGAAATATAATATACGTTACCCATAGGACTGTCAAAAAGAACTAGGAGAAAGAAGAGGTAACAAGAAAGAATGTGAAGAAAAGAAAGAAAGAAGGCAGCTAACGTCCACAGGTGGAAAGGCTAAGGGAAGAGTCTTACCACAATCTGAGGACGGTGCTACAATGTCTGCACTCTTTCAAAACAGTCTGGGTGTGTGTGGATTACTGCATTAACTGGTTTAGCACAGTTCTAGATGTCGATAATGGGGAGGACCTCTCTAGGTGTGGTGTAGCCTGGATGGCATACAAACGCAGGCTTGTTGCTTGGGGCTGTTGCTTTGTTACTTCACTGCTTTGCTGCCTTCCGCCTACCCTGCCACACCATGAACTGTTTCTCCTCTGTGATGTCCTTCTGCCTTGCCACTTTGCCTTGGATCCAGCTGACTTTGGACTGAAACCTCTGGAACTGTGAGTCAAGATAAAACTTTCCTCCTTAACTTGAAAGTGTCAGATATTTTGTTTGAGCAATAAGCAAGGTAACTAAGACAATAAACACAGATATAGATATAGTTTTATGTATGCTATTATGCAAAACTACAAATAGAGATAGAAAAAAAGAAAACAAAAATGGACAAAGAATGCTCCCTAGTATCATTTTCCAGCTCTTGTGGGAACTCAAGCCCACCCTTACCCAACTTTCACACCTCCCACCCGCTGACATCCCACTGTATCCAACCTGCCCCTCAACTCCCCAGACCTCCCTCTAGGGCTGCCCATCAGACCCTTTTCTGGGAGCCATACTTTCCCAGTGCTAATGTGCCACATGACCAGAACACAAAGCTCATACTTCTGCTTCACTAGCTAGTTCAAGGTTGAGTTCAATGTATTTTGTCTCTACCTAGAATGTTCTAGATATCTATTAAGTGAAAATTTCAACTCATTATGCTATACAGGACATGAATGCATTTTTACAGATAAAGATAATGGTAATAACAGTAGTAATTGCAAGAGTTACAGTAATAATAATACACTTTTTTAGGTTTCTGGTGTTGCCAAAATCTCAACTGATTCATCATTTACTTAATCCTGACAATAAATCTATATAAACCTATGAGGTATATATTACTGTTATACCCATTTTATAGATAGGTAAATAGACAACCAAAATCCTAAATGGCCAGATAGTTTGTTACTTGCACAAAGTTTCACTGATGGTAGATGGTGGATCTAGAATCTACTCCAAGAATCTAGTGCTGGTGCCTGCCTTCTTTCACATAAGGAATATAAAAATATTTCTTAGATGCTATGTTTTTTATGTACATAAGATCCATGGAGGCCGCATTTCAGCATACTACCTTTGATTACACTGAGAACACAAGATTGTGAACCCCATGGACTCCTGTTTTCTCTCCCCTGGGCCTTAGAATTTGGTAAAGTCACAACCA